AAAAAAAAAAAGTGGCCAAGTGAGTCAAAAGCATAAAGACTTAAGATTAAAAATCACAATTTTCCCTGGGTAATGAACTAGAACAGCATTAATAAAATAGAATGCAGCCCATATTCCAAAGTCTTAGCTGTCAACTTCTGAGGACAACTGATTGTTAATAGAAGTTCTTCAAAGAAACAAACTACTCTTCCTCAAGCTGATTTTTCAAGCTGATTTTGAGGGAAATAAGAATCAATAAGAATCCTAACAAAAACCATTGAGTTTGTTCTATTTAAACTAATGAAATACAAAAGCTCAATTCTTTTCTGAGGAACATTAACAAAGTCTAAGAACAAATCCATCTCTCATTTTTGCTTCAGCAGGTGTCCTCAACGCAGGTGCTCCCTTGTACTTAGGATTCCCTTACCAGTCTCATCTGTGTGTAACAGAACAATTTTATAAGAACCCTCACATCAAACACTCGACAGTAGTTTAGATGAATCTTATAGCTTAGCTAGCAATCACACACTTGCAGCCAAGATAACCAAGATAAAGCAGAAGAGAACTAAGTATCACTTTTAATCAAATACATCATGGCATCTTCCATTAGAGTCTTCTTAGATGATTCAAGACCTTTCCTTATATTATTCCATCAGCAAAATGAAGTAGAGACCTTTTTCCTTCTTGACCGGAGTCAGTATTCCAAATCACAGTTGAACGTTTCAGATGTGCCACATAATCTGAAGGGACTAACAGATGCGAGACTAAGTGATATTTGCTCTGAGAAATTCATGCTGTCCACCAAGAGCTTTGTCTAGACAAAGACACATGAAATGCATAACACATGTCGCTCCTTGGCAATGCTATTTTCCTTTATTCAACAGGATAATGCAGGTAAAATCCAGAATCTACTTCTTAGAAATTAGTTTCAACAACCATAAATAAAAATCAACCACAGAGAACTCTGAAGGGTTTAGGAAAAGTAATAACCAAGGGCTCTTCTGAATGTAATGTTGAAAATAAATATTGCTCCTATCATTATGAGAAACATGTAATTCTACCTGCCTAGTTTTCTCTTTCCCTTCTTTTTCAGCTACTCCCTGTCTTAAGGCGTTTTCTGATCTCAGAAGGTCAGCATCACTGACACAAGTCAACATTTTCATTGAGTTCTAATCTACATTGTTTTTAAAGACACAGCCTAAAGACACTACCTTGTGAGAGTCTTCTCAAGAACCAGCACCACAAATCATTATGAGTTTTCTTTGCATGAGTGCAAGCAAAACAAATGCCCTGCTCAGCAATCACTCCATCCTCAATGAGAGCATCAGTCTGGGGTCCACTAACTTTAAAGAAAATAAGACTCCTTTTTGTTGTCATGCTGAAAGGTCAAGACATCTTCACATCAGTATTAACCTCTGAAGTACCAGATTGTCCTAGACTCAAAGCCAAAAACAATGCACCAATTTTCCTAAAACTTTCCCAGCCTATTTCAAACTAAGGCACCAAAGGAAACCTTCAACTCAGACCTGCCCGCCACAAAGCTTTGGAACAATAGATAAACTTACTTTGTCCTGACGAGATTCCGCTGCATAATGATCCATCCTATGTAATTTTCTTCTTCTTTTCTTTGGAGGAGCAACTGGTCTTTCCTGTCTCCTCTTAGGGGCAATTTTCCTCTTAGGTCTCTTAGCCGGAGTAAGAGGTGAGCCATAACTACTCTCCTGTACTGGCGGATAGAGATGTCTGCACTCAGAAGTCGTCTGTCCCTCTGGGTCAGATAGTAAAGCTCACACTTTCCCGTCTGGGGTCAGCAGAGTCTTAGAAAAATTAAGTCTCCTTAAGGGAGAACACATGGGGATGGAAGGTGATTCAGGGACCTCTCTGTAAAGAAGTCTCTTAAATGGGTGTCAATGTTGTCACAGCATCTTCGCTGAGGAGAGGGCATGATTTAAGAGGATCTAGTCATGTGTCTTTCATCTGAGAAGCTTGCTTGTAGGTACACCTGAAGGTGACACCAGACAAGTAAGTCCTTATTCCATAACTCGTGCACTGGGGACAGAAAGGTCTCTGTGTATAAAGCATTAGCTTATAACCAAACAGAATAATTATCACTTGATCACCTCAAGATAAGAATGAGGGTCATGTAGGTGGTTCTAACTCAGCAACTGATAGATTTCTATCTGTTCACACCACCAAATATATCATAACATTCTCAGCTTCCATTTTAAACAGAGGACAGAATGAAGCAAATGATAAGCAGTCCCCATCAGTCTTGAATATATTCATACAAATCAGGACTTTCAGCAGGTAAGAGGACTTTCTTTCCACGGACAAGTGAAGTTTCCAGTATGGAGGAAACTTACATAAACAGGACTATATTTTTAGAAATTCTCTTTGGAAATAAGGTAACGTGGAAAGTCCTTGATAACTCTTCGTCGTTGTGGAGAGATCAAGGCTCAACATAGACTCTTACTATGGGACGCCCCCTGTCGAGGGGATGGTATTGTTTAAAATCCAGACAGCAGTAACATCTGGTCATAAACTGAGTGCAGAACTCCCAGAGCTGGAGAAACACCAGCGCCTGATTTGCTGATCGTGCAAAGGTGAATTAAAGCAGCAAGCCCTGCTGTCTGCTAGCTACCTTATCTCTTGGCAGGACTGTTCCAACAGCCATTGGGATGCAGGCGGGCAGGAAGAGGAACAATGTTAGTGTATCCAAGGAGAATATCTGCCATGCGGTTGCACTCTTCCCAGGGGCAAGCGACTGCAAGGGTGCTTCTGTTTTCTGTCTCATCCTCTTCCTCCGGCAGAGGGATCAAAAGTTACAGCCCCATAGACTTTGGTTTGGTTTGCTTTGGTTTTAATATTTCTAGTTTTTAGGCAAATCTCCATGAGAAGAGCAAGAAAAGGAAAGGGTCTTTTTTCCATTTCATGGTCACAAGTACATTCTGCTAGCGCTCAAATCTGCCCATCAAACACTAGGCCATTTGCAAGACTTCAACATTTCAAAGACTCCCAAAGAGAGAACCCTTCCGATTGCAGGAGGTTAGAGGAGCAGAAGAAATGGAGTTGAAGCAAACTGAGTTTTCATCCAGTCGTTACAAAGGCATGTATTTCCTTCTTCAATGTTAGAAGTAGATGAAAGCTAAGTTTTCACTGACCAGCCATACTTTCAGCCGGAATTTAGAAATTTTAGCCTGAGGTTATTCAAAGAATGGAAGAGAGGGTGCAAATTTCCCTGCTTTTCAGAAGGATTCTGTACCATCTGAAGGTAGGGACCAGCCAGCCAAAGCTCTGCCTCGAGGCCCAAAAGAGCAGCCGAACAAGAGGTCACAGAAAAAGCATAGAAGATCAAACAGAAAAAGATTGTGCCCATAATCAAAAGCAAGCATATTTTTGAACATTCACCATTACACTACAAAACCAGGAGCAACACACCATTTCTTGAAACTATTAGCCCAATGTTAGGCCATCTCAGTTAACAGATTTTGAGACTCACCCTGAAAAACAAGTATACTCAAATATTAAGCAAATAAACCACAAACTTCAGTTAAATTCATCTTACTATGGCATAAAGCATTTTGCTAGATAGAATCGTTTCAATTAAATTTCGAATGCACGTTTTCTCATTACTTATAAAAACATGTATTACTGCTTTTAAAAATAATCTTTTACCTAGTGTGCATAATGTTCTCAAGTACATTAAAGATTTATGATGGTATACAGATACATATATATACATATATGTATATGATAAACAGGTATGTAAGTCAATTAAATCTATGATACAAGTAAGGTTTTGCTGACAGGCTTTGGTTTTATTTTAAAAGTATAAAATTGTTTTGCTTGGTATTAGTTCAAGCTTCTTAGAATCAGATGAGAAACAAGTGATATCTGAAAATGTTCTTTCTTTCATGAGAAGAATATGATTGCGCTATCAGATACTCTAAGGTATATAGTTAATAACATTTACACAGTAGATATGGGGCAAAACTCCAGCTTCCAGAAGTATTATTACTTTAAAAAATAATGTAAATAGTTATAGCTCTTAATACAAAAGTTCTATAGGAAAAAAAAATCAACTTCTATGTTTACAAGCAACTGTGGACACAGAAACCATCATTATACCTAATTGAAGCATGTTAGATCTTGATTCATTTAATCATTGCTCAGTACTTTTATTTATTTATTTATTTATTTATTATTTTTGAGACAGGATATCATTATGTAATCCTGGCTGATCTCAAACTCAACAATTATTAGCTATTGGTTTCTAGTTATTAGTTTCTAGTCCTTTAAAAAAAAATCACTGATCACTGAATTGATGTTAAAGCATTCAAAAATCCTTTTGACTTCTAGATCCTTTGCTGCCTTTGCTTAGACATGCCGTAATTTGTTCAAAAATGCTTAAATCAGAGATCTGCCTGCCTCTGCCTCTAAGTGTTACAATCAACAATTATTAGCTATTGGTTTCTAGTTATTAGTTTCTAGTCCTTTAAAAAAAAATCACTGATCACTGAATTGATGTTAAAGCATTCAAAAATCCTTTTGACTTCTAGATCCTTTGCTGCCTTTGCTTAGACATGCCGTAATTTGTTCAAAAATGCTTAAATCAGAGATCTGCCTGCCTCTGCCTCTAAGTGTTACAATTAAAGACATGTGCCACTATGCCCAACAATTTGTTTTTTACACAAAACACATCTATTTTCAATGATTAGTTGTAACTATACTACACATATAATAAATCCCAAGGTGTCCCTGGAAAAAAAACTTGCTGTTAAGCCACATGACTTAAGGTATAGGTATGTTATACTTTATGTATATTGTCAAAAGCCAGCTCTTGCAATAAAGATGGGGCTTCATATAGTTTGAACATAGCTGTAAATGGGTCGCTTTGCTTATCCCCTGGTCTTCAGGAAGGTTAGATGGCTCCATGGCAAGGTTTATGGTCTAGGACTCAGAAGGTCTGAGGTTCTATCTTAAGTCCTGTATTTACCAGCCAAGTTAAACATCCTCAAACCTCTCCAAGTACCAGCTTTAACTTTCAAAAAAATGGCAATATCAACACCAATTCCTGGGTAGCCTTTCAAAGAATATTATTCAAACAAAGTTGGACTTTTTAATAGAGCACATGGAACTGGTTAGGTGTTTAGTGTTTTTTTTTTAACACATTTTCATAAAATGTGGTTCCTTTTGTTCAGTTTAGATTAATTTCAAAGAAATTCATCCTAAAGATAAAACGCCTATCCCCACTTTGGTTTTCTTTCCTGGAAATAAGATTTGTGTTTCATGTATGCAGATGTTTATCTTGTTTTATCATTTGTGTTTCATAATCATGCAATAGTACTTAAACATCAAAGGAATGAAAAAGTCTCAGAGTTATACGACTTCCACAATTCAAGACCAACCATAAATGGTTTCACATACTTATCAGTTCCTAGTGCTTTAAAAAAAAAAAATCACTGACCACTGGATTGATGTTAAAGCACTCAGAAATCCTTATGGTTTCTATGTATTTGTTGCCTTTGTTTAGACACGCTGCAATTTGTTCAGGCGCTTAAATCGGGATACATGGTCTGTTTCTCCCACATTTTCTTATGCTGAACAGAGTGCAATAAATTAAAGCAGTTGTATTACCACAGATTGTGAGAGAATTGGAGGAAGTGCCCATCAATAAAGACTTTAAAAAGTAATTTGTTCATTTGAAATTAAGTTTTTCAATGTTATGTTGACCTCATCACCCCGTGAAGAAAGAAAACATTTAAAATATTAAAAATTTTAGATTTGCTGACTTTATCATATTTCTAATGATTTATGCTAAAATATTGGGAAGATTTCCATCTTAGACAAAGGAAAGACACAATAAACTGCAGCTATCCCAATCCCATTCCCTGAATATGAAGTTATCCTGGATTGTACCTTGTAATAACAGATTGTCTTCTTCTGAGATGGCTGAGGATTTGACAAGTATGTTTCCAAGCTTTGCTAGTCAGATTCCTCCAGGAAAGTATTTTCCCTCATTTAAGAACTCACTTAACCAGAGGGATGATAGACAGGGCTTCACTATTGAATGTGCCCATGGGTATCACAGTATGAATATTATATCAAAATACCCCATAAAAAAGTATCTCTACTATCCATAGGTCAGGTTACTCATTGGTACTAAGGCTACTGGAGCTGCTGAACTAACCTACCATTTATGAGCTATATAATCATTTTAAGGGGGTTACAATTCAGTTGTAATGTCTTGTATTAGAGGCTTCATCATAAGGTTCTTTCTGTCCTGTCCCACCAACCCTTCACCTTGTTATGCTGATGCCTGCAAAGCTGGAATTCACCCACCACCCCATTAACACCATGTTTAGGATATGTTTCTATATCAAAGCAATCTGAAATGAAGTTCCTGTAAAAGAAACAAGTACATTTAAGATTTTTAGATTATTTGACAATGTATAAACCTTCTCCATATGAAAACTCTCAGACTTTGTACAAATCCTGAAATGACATCCTGGAAATTAGGTAGCCTAGGGACATGGGTCTCATCAGGCAAGACAATAAACTACTAACCTCAGGGCCAAAGGGGCCATATTTGTGTCCAGAGAAATCAGGCTGCTCAGAATAGAAGGCATAAACTGAAGGCCTATGGGAAAATTAGAATCAGAATCAACCTAAGGCTACATAGAACAATACGTATCACACATTTTAAAAAGTCCTTCCAGGGAGTCCAGAGGCAGAAGGGACAGCAGGGGGAAGGGGGGCAAATTAAAGCAAAGTACAGTAACACCTATGTATGAAAATGCCATAGTGAAACACATCACTTTGAATGCTAACCTAAAATACACAATTTTTAAAAATTCTTCGCGTTTAGCCTCCCACCCACTGGTAGTATTACCATGGAAGACTTTTACTCTCTATCACTTCCACACCCATCATGCTCCACACTGCGCCCACTGTGGTAACTACCCGGTACCACTTCAAGGCATCAAATGCCACAATGGAAAATTTGGACATTACTCAGGACTTTGATCCTCAAGATAAAGGAGCCCAGTGATCATTCCCACAGGCCACATAACCTGCAGCCTGAGAGAAGACTATCTCCATTCAAGGGAAAAGCCATTCTTCATGCCTCTCAATCCTTGAGATGCTGATAATTCCTTTATCAAAGCCAATAACTCATTTCAGGTCTGCTGAAGTCTCCAGGATTAACAGCTGGAGTAATCCATCTAATTAAACAGTCCCCAATAATACAAGCCTTCTTAAGGAAATAAAGCTTAAGGCTAATAACCACAAAACTTGAATAACACCAGTCCTTGGCTATGCTGCTATTCAACAGTCCATCTTGTGTTTTACAGAACACTAGCCCAAGATGGAAATGTACTGGAGAAAGGAGAGAGGAGCAGAGAACAAATACCTCTCATTGTCTGGCAGTGAAAGCCACTGTAGAATGGTTAGGATTCTCCGCTCATGAGGGATGCTCCTGTAGGGGTGGAAAAGCAAAGCAAATCCTTAGATTGCATTTCCACAAACTCAAGCCTGATGAGCACTTACTCTTGCACCCAGGCCAAAGCTCTCTATTCTCCACCATCTGTTTCCACTTCATTGTAGTGAAGGGACCTCCTTGGAATTAAGTATTTAAACTTCCATTTCCATTTGCAACCTATTACATTACTCAACCCCTTCTATGGAAGACTAGACTGGAAACTCTGATTCATGGTCAAATGAGGAACCTGTCTTCCTGATCAGAAACCCTTCTTACAGGGAAATAAGACCCTGGCTTAAAAACATTGCTGTTTAATGGGTCAAACTTTTTGCTGGGGCATAAGAGAAAAGAGAGCTTCCATCATCCACCTCTTGCTGGCAATATAAGTTCTGTTGATCTCTAAGCCTCTTGGCCTCTCTCAATTTGCTCTTCAGGAAGATAAAGATAACAGCAAAGCCTGACATACTTCCAGTTTTAAGGATGAAATGAAACACGGCAAGGAAAGGACGGGAATGGTGTCTAATAAGAAATCTTATTAATGAGCATAGATATCCTTCTGCCTAAGATTGAAACATTACCTAAAAGTTCCTCCTCTACAAAATGGGTTAGTGAATGTAGTCTTGAAATTCTCTTAAAAATCTATCAAGCATAGGCACATATAATTATAGACTGACCAAAAGGGTATAATCTTCATTCACAATGGCTCTTATGTTCAAGTTCTCATTCCTCTGTTCAAATATAATTACCCTAAGCCTGGCACTGGCTCTGGGAGCTCTTGGCTGACATAGGACAGCATCCTCGCTGAGTTGTGTTAGGATGCTCACAGCTAAGCAACATCTTGACATGGAAGAAAATAGCTTATTCTTTCCTAATGAGGAACACAAAATGCTTTTCTAGTCTCCCATCTAAGATTGGGCCCTAGAGGAGGTTCACGGTCAATCTAAACTAAAACACAAGCTTGACTGTGGTAAGGAAAAATTATTGGATGGACCATTTAAATTTTTATTCTTGGGGAATATGAGAAAGAAGGCTAGGAGAAAGATAAATCCTTGTAACCATGGTAAGTGGCTAGGGTTGGACAGCCTCTTCCTACAAGCACCATCCACCCCACTAGCTCTACCTAGCTCTCTTCTCAGGATTGGCCACCTATCTGGAATCCTTTCTGTCCAGAGCTATCTACAAGACTAGAGCATCATGTTTACTATAAAATAAATCATGCTGTAAACAATATTCCAAAAGCATTGAATAAATGTGGTCCTGTTTACTGCGTCCTATAATTCAGTTAGAAATAGACTAAGCAAAGTCAGTTAATCACTTAAAGAATTTAATTCTTCAGACTTAGAAATCCTTTGTATCTGAACAAAATAATTATAATTGCATATTTTGAATTCTTTCCTAACTTATAAAGTAAGTCAATGCCTTTTATATTACCTTATTCCTCTACCACCTAGAAAGCTGCTTTGCTTTGTCTGAGTGTTGTTATGCCACAGATATGGACTCTGATGAACCCATTCCTGACACTGATGGGGAAGAACAAGCTAGAAGAATTTGTGTCAAGCTCAGAATGCTCATCCTTTAAAAACAATAGAGAATCAAAATTATAAGCTTTGGGGCCAGAACAATAGAGAATCAAAATTATAAGCTTTGGGGCCAGAATGTTTGGGTTTGAATCCTAATTCCTATAAGCATGGATGATGAGACTTTGGCAAGTTACCTAATCTTTTGATGTCCCTGCAAAATGGTGGTAGCAGTACCCTTCACAGGTTTGTTAGAAGGAATCAAAGAGATAATACATATTTTTAAAAAGTGCTTTAAAACAGTGCCTGGTGCAAAGAAAGGGTTTAGAAAAATGGTAGTTTCAGAAGACTTGCACGAGATCAAGCCAACTAACATTCTGCCATGCAGTGTGAGCCCCCCTACCCCTAACTAAGGAACTATTGACAGTTGATGGCTTCTGAGAGAAGAGTCTGTTTTCTTTAAAGATACCACCTCCTGGTAGATTGACCACACTCCAGTGGATGGTCACATGAATGAATATATGTGCAGCACAAATTGGACGCCATGGTTTTTTTTAAAGGACAGGGGATTTAGAGGGGGTAGGGGCAGGGAAATGGGGCCTGGATACGGTGGGAGTTAGAGGGGAGAGTGGAGGTTGAATATGATAAGAATACAGTGTATGAAATTCTCAAAGAATTAATAAAAACTTTAAAATGCCAGTTTTTATAATCAGGTACTGGCTTCATAGGTCTACAGAGAGTAAACATTCATGCATGAAATGTATATTAAAGGTATATTGTGATCATGGCCTGTGTGTAACACAAAGATACAAGATATTCCCACAAAAAGACTGATGAGGGATTTGTCTTCCTCTACCTGGGAAGGAAAAACAAATGATTATTTTATCAATTCTTGGGTAGAGGCTCTCTCTCTCTCTCTCTCTCTCTCTCTCTCTCTCTCTATACTGTTGTATATGCTACAATGAAGATTCTGGAGGTCTGATAGTCCACCTTAAGTGTGGCCTTGAGTAGAACATTCAACAACTCTATGTCTTAATTTATTCTAATCCTGTAAATAGGGAGTCAAACAAGGTGGTCTCTGAAGTTTTCTAAGTGTTCTGGAAATAATCTCACAGATCAAAACAATTTATTAATGTCTCGATACAGTGCTAAGATAGCACACACAAAAAAAATCTGACCAAGGGAAGGAAGTCTCCAAGCAGCAAGGAAAATAGGACACGCATTACTGTCTTCACCACTACTGACTGATGCAGAATTAATCTTGAGATCGACCAAGTACACCAGCCATCGTCACAAAAGAAAACTAAAGGGAAAATAGAAAATAAAGGACTAAATGAAGTATTTAGTGGTAAAGGGGACACACTGTTCAGTGTTTAAAGATACAAGGAGAATAAGAAAACACATGCCATTCATCAGCGGTTCCTAGGTACCAAAGACCCAACTAAAGCACTTTATGTAAGTTAACTCATTCTATCTCCACAACACCCTTATTAAAGTTCCTATTTAAAGATGAGGACATTGATTTGTTGAGATTAATTCACATGCCCAAGGTCAGTGCCTCATAAGCAGCATAGCTGGCATGACACTCAATCCAAACACTCACATAATAGGAATTGCTGCCTCCCAAAATGGATTGACACAAGAATAAAATGGAATGTCAGCTGGGGGTGATTTTGGAAGGAACTACTAACATTTAAGAAGCAAGGATATAATTCTAGACTGCAATATAGTACCATGCTACAAAGATGGTCTGTAAAACCCAATCTATGGTTTGAGTCTGGTTTTATTTAAATGTAAAATTTTTCAGAATAGGCTATATGTAGATTCTCTTGATATATATTCCCTGTAAGAACTAGAAGTCTGATCATGTTTTATAAAGTTATAAAAAGCTTCAAAGGGTTGGAGGCTGGAGGCGAATGAATCCAACTCACTTCCAGTGAATAGAGATAAAAGAATTAGCTAGAGAAGTGGAGCAAGGCTACAGACATCTTTGGTGCACACAAAAGCCACCTTCTTATAAGTGGTTTCAAATGGGTGGAGAAAATTGTCATTCAAAGCCAGAACACTGGGCCTTTTCAAGGAAGTTTTGCAGCAGTTTCAGGGGGGTAAGGGTGCAGACTAAGTATTAATTATGTTGTTGGCTCCTCTCCATTCTGCTGGACAAATGAGTTGCAGAGCAGTAGGAATCCCTTCCCTCAGAAACTGTGAGAGCCAAGGGTTAAATGGAGATGTGGAAGATTAAATTAGTAAATCAACATGCCACTTAGGCTAAACAGTGTCAGTTCTAGCATACCCATGCTTACTTCTCAACTCAGAGAGCTCTTTGAAAGAGAAAAGAAAAGGTACTGTTAAAGGGACACTGTCTTCACTTCAGATCACCCAAACCAGTTCAGCTGAGTCCCTGAAATCAGAAAGGGGCTACTTCTATTCTTGAATTTGGAGAAATCAGAAAGCATCGTTCAGAATTAACTGGAAACTGTCTCAGCACACTACTATTACAGAATACTCAAATTTTTTGCTAAAGCGTAAAAGGCAAATATAGAAACAGCTTTAGGTGATTTGTTTTTAAAAGGGTGGAAAGAATATCACATTGGAAACGAAATCCCCCATGAAAGTTGAAACAGATCCTTTTTCTTACTAAGGAACCTTAATAATAATCAACATGTTGACAATTTTATTAGCTAAATTTTATCTTAAGGCTTGGCAATGTTAACTACTAGTCTCCCATCACCCCTGCAGGGGTGAGCAATCCCATTTTCTTACTGGAAGCTGGGTGGGAAAATGGAGCCCTGCCCCCCGGCCCCCGCTCTCCTGAGTAGAACTTCCAAGCTGTAGACCATTCCATCAGTTTCCCAGCTGCCTGAGACCACACTAAGTATTTAAAGCTGGAACCAAAATAAGTGTAGTATGTTCTAACATATTTACAGAGGATGAAAGTGCAAACTATAGCAATACTCTAAAGAGCAAGATACATTCCTGGGTAGTAAGTTACCAAAATCCTACAAAGACAGATAAAAGATCTAATAGACTGGTAAAAGAGAAAGATCTTCCTTACCTAAGAGATGGAGAAAAGGAGAGGTGGAGGAGGAAGGAAGGGTGAAAAGAGGGGCAAGAAGGAAGGGGAAAGGACCTCCAGAAAAACAAATACCGGGAAAGTTGTTCTTGAATCAACAAATACTCATAACTTCGATACATTTACATTTAGAGGAAATGAAATCAGTTGACTGAATTGATGTTTCATAAACTAAATCATAATTGCAATTTTACAAATATTAACAAAATAAAGGTAACTTACACAGACCAAAAGAATGTTCCAGCTCTCACCCCTTGCTTGGTGGCTGTAATCCATAGCTAATGAGGAAAAGATAAGAGGCTTATAATATGTTTTGAGTTCTGGTCAAAGGAAAGAAAGGACTAAAACATATTAGATCTGATATCTTATACTCATGCTCCACCATAAATTTCACATTATTTGCAACCATTTTTTTCACATCTGGAAGTCAGACTCATTATTTCCCTAAATTTTTTAATACTCTTTTCTGCAGAAGCTCTCAAGAACTTTCCTGTGATTCTGCTGACTTTTTAAAAATATATTTCACCTCAAAAGTCTCTCTTCTATACCTGTCTTTTCTGACAAGTGGAGCATTTCACTCATGTGGCAGAATTCTGCTCATCAAAGGACTCAGGAATAAACCATATGTTTCCTTTACTACTGAAAGCTTTCCAGAGCAGAGCCCCAGTTTGGCACCCAGATGTCAGAATCTTTAAATCTAGCTTTTCACAATTGACTTTAAACTAGATGGAAGAGAAAAAGAACTTAAAAGGGTACTTTTTAATCCAGTTTTTTTATTCATTTTTTTCTTAAGTAAATGGAGTTTTAAGGAAAAGTTTCTATTAGATAAATGAAGCAGTTCATGACGGCTTTTAAAATATTCTCTACAAATCAACCATTGGTATATGCCTGTAATCCCAGTACGAGGGAGGCTGAGGCAGGAAGATCAGCCTGAACGAAATAATGATAGCCTATCTAAAGAACAACAAAAACTTTCTAGCTCATGCTAAGAGGTAAAAGATAGAGTTTAGACTACAGGTTAAACCTTAAGCCTGGACCTTAAGCCTTGCTTCTGTCACTTAACAGCTGCATGCTCCTCCAGAAAGTTGTTTAATCTCTTCATGCTCCAATTTCCTTCACAATGTAGATTGTATCTTCTAATACATAGGATGATTCTGTACTTTAATGAGCTAACACATTTAAAATTCTTAAATCAGTGTTTTAGCATTTGGTAAACAGTTTCAGTTTTTTATTATTACATATTAGTGGAAACCAATGGAATCTAGTTATTCCAGGAGCATTAAAAACAGCTTATGACGGCAAGTTTCCTATTGAACAGAAGTTTGTGGGAAGAACCTCTCTCAAAAGAAGAGAATGGCAATAAAAGAAGGGACAATGCAGTCTGTTGTGAGACCAAAGCAAAAGTGTGGCCTGTCAGTATTCTGTTTTCATTGCCTCCAGATTTGGGGAGTATTTCATGACTCCAGTGGAAATCTTTGTTTTATTTATTTTTTTATTTGTTTGTTTGTTGTGGAAACATGTAACTGGGAAGCATGGGGGATCTGAGACTGCCGTATGAGTACGAGATGCCTGGCTTAAAATTTTCTGAAAGGATGCCAAAGTCTGTTGGAACATCTAGAAATCTCCACTTCAAAAAAATCAAAACTGGAGCTGGAGAGACGGCTCAGCGGTTAAGAGCACTGACTGCTCTTGCAGAGGACCCAGGTTTGGTTCCCAGAACCCACATGGCAACTAACAACCATCCATAACTCCAGTTCCAGGGGATCCAATGCCCTCTTCTGTCCTCTGTGAGCACTGCACAACATGGGTGCACTTACATACATGCAGGCATAACATATACATGAAATAAAAACAAATAAGTCAAAAAACATTTTTTTAAATCACAGCTATTGAAAGTTCATCATATTGTCATCTTATGTTTTGTTAAATGGACATTGCTTTTGGAAATGTATGGTGTGTTGTTTAGGGATTAGTTAATTGTCTAGATTTCAAAAACTGGATTTCTAATATATTCTAAGAAATTGCAGTACCATTTTGATTAGTCTCAATGTTTTCAGGCCTTGAGATAAATTTTGACTACATGATTTAAAAAAAAATCACAGCTATTGCAACTAACAAAGACATGAAGCAGGAGAGCATCTAGTGCCTTCCAGATTTGTGGGGTTCTGAGATGCCAGTGAGCTGGAGGGAGGCGTCCTCACCTCTTTTACGTCATTCATTAATTCATTCATTCATTAATTCATTCATTCATTCATGTATTCATTGAGCCTGGATATTGGTTCTCTGGAATAGCTCAGGAGTTAGGAGTCTCAGATTGCTCTAAGTGTCTCCCCTTAGTTTGGTTGACAGCACCCTTTCACTTTATGGGCAAACATGCCCCAACCAGGACTTATACTGTGTCCTGGACTTTCATTCATCCTTGCTCTACCACTTCTACCAACAGAACATAATGCTCAAACAAACTGCCACTTTGTGCCTACTTCAAAACTATGCCAGATCCTAACAGAGGCCAGTTTCTTTTAATATGGAACCTATTTTTATACTTACCTTATTTCCAATGACACAAACTCCCTAGGTTCATATCCAAACAACTTCCTGGAAAAGTTAGCACCTTGCTATTTCCAAGGAAACTATACCAGGCAATAAATATTTGACATATATGAAATATAGATCAATCTAGGCCTTGCTAGAGGAAAAAAATGTAATGCAAACTTCTCAAATGGTGACCTACATTTTCCAAAATTATATTGTAGAGCTTACACTGATGTTGGTATTATCTGAGCAATGGGAAGCCCTAGGAATAACTTTTAGCTCAGGTAAGAACTAAAAGCCCACGAGACGTTTTTGCAGAGCTAAAAAGAGTCATATGCATTGTGAGGATGTCCAGGTAACCATGGTAAAATTATTCTGCTGGCCTCTCTGAAGAGCAGGAAGGAGGACTGGACTCCTGGGGTAGATTGCTGAAAGGAGCTGCTCAGGTACCCGGCCTGGCCCAGCTCCTTCCTGCCAAGGAAGTTCAACTGACCAAGCCAGGTCGCCAGCTGGCTGTCTTCACATATTACACTTTCATAAATTCCTTGCCACTGTCCCAGCCCAGGATACTCCTGAACGAACTGGAGCCCATTAATACATGATATTAAAGAATTTGCAGTAAATTATTTATACCAAAGGTAAAAATCAGAATCATTTTGTTTTGTTTTGTTTTGTTTTGTTTTATGAGACAGGGTCACCTGTAGTCTAGTCCAGCCTCAAACTCATTACAAGCTGAAGATCTATGTTCCTCCTCCTGTCCTCTGCTTCCCAAATGCTAGTAGGATAACCGATACACACCATTAGAATCGTTTTTCTTTATATTTTTCTATGCTTCCCATAAATTAACTGTTGATGACATACTTATAATCCAATTAAAAAAAACAAACCTAGAAAGTAAACTATGAAGACAATTTGAAAATCAAGCAGTGTGTTTCTAGCCAGGCATAGTATCGTGCATCCATAATCCAGGCACGTGGGAGGCTGAGACAGAAGGATTACAAGTTTGAGGTCAGCCTTTCTCAAAACTAAAAACCAAAAAAAAAGTGTCTTTTTCTGAAAAAACAAGCAAGAAAATTCTCCCTCTTTCTTAGTAGATAACATATTCCTATGTTTTCTTTTAAAAAAAAAATAGGGACTTGATCAGAAGAAAAAAAATATGAACAAGTAACAGAGAATATATGAAATTAAAAAGTACATTTACTCATGTAAGCAATCCTAATTAAACTCAGTGGGTCCCAGAAAAAGGCATGAAAACAGGAGGGGGACTAATAGGAAAGAGACATGGATAGTCTCACTGTGAAAGAATGCCATATTTGAGTAAGTCGGTGAGGACATTTTCACACAATAACACATTCAGAAAAATTCCTTTTTAATATTGTGAAGTTAAAACACAATAATCTAAAACAATAGAATCTTGGCACTGTCAAGGTTTAGCAAATCTACAAGAATGAAACAGGCAGGGCTTTCTTAGGTAGCATCATAAGCTGCTGTCAGAGCTGTTCTAGAAGTCATCTGTGTATCTTACATTTCAGGGCTCAGGATTTTATAATTACCAAAATTAAAAATCACTCAAATGATGGCTGAAAAGAGAAGAATGAAAGCAGCCCTCCAGTCATAAAAATGAGGAAGAGACGTGTCCCTGGCTCCTTGTTAATTCAGAGAAATAGAAGCTGATTTTCCTAAATTTGACTGCAAGCATACATTTCCTCAGAAGTTGTTGTTTTTAAAAAAGAAAGTTAAACAAATAAGCTAAGATAATCCTGACTGAACTTGGACTTCATGATTTCAATCTTCATAACTCGCCATTGCTTTTTATCTAGAAGTCCAACTTTTAACATTTGTGCCCCAAGGTGCTTTACTTGAAAAAGCAAAAAACTGGAATATGATTGAATCTTCTTGTGGCATTGCCAGGAATAAAGCTTCCTCACCGGGTGTCAAATGTGAAATTCAACACTTTCTCCGGTTAAGTAAAGTATATGGCTATGGGAAAAGGGACGTTTTGAAAAAGAAAATAAGCAAAAACATAGTTATCAAAGACATAAACTTACAACTGTAGTCTTTTTGTCAATTCTTTGCAGGAAATTGTCCTTTGTAGTGAAAGCCACAGAGCTAGGGTGATTATAGTTCTGAGAGAGTAGAGGGACCCATAGAGCCCTGCCTTCAGCAGAAGTGGATCAGCCACTGAAAACCAGGAGGTAATAGGATATGTGGGGTCAGGGATGCAGCAAGATCGACTGTGGACCATCCTGCTGCACTCCAGCTGGCTATGGCCAGTGGCAGGCAAGTGACAGAACTGGTGATATGTGACCATGTAGCTGCCAACACTAAGAGGATGGATCCCCGTTCTTTTACTGAACTTTTTCCCCATACAGCTGATGTAACCCAGGAAAGCACTATATCACTGGGTTATAGCCACAGTCTTCTTTTTACTTTTTATTCTGAGACAGGGTCTCATGAAGTTGTCCAGGCTCATCTTGAACTTGTGATCCTCCACCTCAACCTCCCAAGTAGCTAGATTTACAGGCCCATGCTACCGGGCCCAAGTTACTGGGCCTAGCTTTGGACCCTTGTTCTTAAGGACAAGTTACCCTAGAAACACAGGTAAAACCCACCTCAAAATGAAGTGCCCAGCAGGCAACTCCAAGCACAGTCATGGAGCGTCAACTAAACTAGGCATCCAATTCAGTCCTTAGATTAGGAAGTAAATAAGCCAGTCTTTACCCTCATGGGACCAACAGACCAAAGCAGTCATGTAAAAGCCAATTTCAAAGGGAGACGGTTCAATATATGATAGGGAAAAAAAGAGAAAAGGCAGGGTGATCTGGCTTAGCCAAGGCTAGAAGAGCTGAAGGCAGGTTGCTGCAAACAAATACTCCAACTTAAAGTTGGAGCAGAATTAAGAGGCTGTTAGACAAAGAAACACTTCCTAAGTACCTCAAAGTGAGCAAAGGGGCAGAGCTCATCCTGACTAAGTCATTAAGATATCAGACAAAGAGCAGCTGGGACTATGCTTATGACAGAGCTCATGCTAGGCATGCACAAGACCCTTGGGAGGTTGCTCGGAAACAGCAATGAAGGTTTGGTAGAAAGAGGAGAAAAGTGTTGATCAGTAGTACTGTATGAAAAAGAAAACATAAAGTTGTCTTTAATCAAAGATAGCGCTTTGCTATGCCCCTGCTGGGATAATAAAACACACAAGAAAGGAAAACAACCTGTACTTCCCATCAAGCCAATCCCTCCAGCCTGGAAAGTCACCCCCAGGCTACTGAGCAGTCTTTCTTCGCTGTCTCTTTCTGGAAGGTGCCATCTTCCCTCATTTTGCCCTGCTATTCATTCTCTAGGATGGTCCCTGCCCCACCCATAGGGACAGGAGGCAATTCCAGGCCAAGCACTGTGAGAAGTGATGGGAAGATAATCCGCTCCTCCTGAAAACACGCAGCAACTCGGACGTCAGAGGATTCAAATCAGGAGGGAGGCTGGTTTCTCAAATCTGCACCTTTAGTCAGTCCCTTGAAGTCTCATACACTCACATGTCCAAGAGTCCAAATCTAAACTGAGCATGGACAGGCCCCACTGCACCTTCCGTCAGAAGTTACAGGACTATATTAAGGCAGTTTTAAAGAAGGACTCCATTAAAATATATATAAGAAATGCAACATCATGAGGCTCATGATAACTTCTAACAGCACTTTCCAAAGATGAACAGATCAAAAGCAGACTCAATTTTGTGAGAGTGAACAGATTTTTTAAAAGATATAATTAAGTTAAAGAAATTATTTTTGAAAACTTAGGGGGAATATTCAAAATTTCAGATAAGCACTGCCCAAATCTTCATCCCGTCTATTAGGTTTTAGACAGACAGGGATAAGAAGTGGCTCTTAGTCATTTCATCTGGTCTCTGTATTATTTAGTCAAATGTCTTGCATGGTTCCATCATTTAGTAAAAATAAATTGAATTACATTGAATTACCAGTCTAAGATTTTTATAACTATTTTCTCTACTCAAATTATGTTTTCACTGGTGACCTTATAAAATGTACAAGACCCTAAGAGGTTTGCATCCATGCATCAGGGATGTTTATAAATATTTTCTTATAGTACTTACTGCTTCATTTGAGTGTCTTAGACTGTTGTTTCTGCTTGTATACTCTTTAGATGGGTCAGATTTCAGTAAAATGAGTTTTTTAATTATAGCTATGATGGTCCTTAGAATTCTCAGTGGTGCCCGTCTTGATCAAGATGATAGACAGAAACACAAATCAGTTTCACTGCAAATCTTGGTGAGCATTAGGAGACTTGGTCAAATGTGTCAGTTGAGAGTTGGTGAGGAAGTGCTCCAACAGAGCAGAACAGAGACTTTACTTCATGGGACAGGTCAGCAGATTCCCTCTGCTTGGTATCTGCAGAAGTTAATGAATATGTGGACTCTTCTGCCTCTGAGTCATGGCAACCCAGAGGAAACCTAATGTCAACACCACCAAGCATAAGCTGAACCAATTAGATAAAATTACCATTTATCTCCATATTCTTTGTGGTTCCTCTGGCAAGTTGGTTTCCAATATCAGATTATTAGCAAAGACCACTTATCAACAGCCTGATAGAGCTCATGTTTCTGTCATTTATTTACTCATAAAATATTCCTCTATCATAAACTTGGTAAAATCCACCCTGTCAACAAATTTCACTGTGATCACAACCTAGGTCATCACAGACTTCTGGGAGTCCAGCCTGAATAAAAACAGCAAAATCAGAACTCTATTATAAAGAACCTTTTTCTGCAGGCATACAGAAAGCCTGTCAGTATTTATTTTTTAAAAATAAGAGACCCACATTTATGCTTGCATATGATTTACCTATTAAGCAAGATGAATATTTTGATCACAAATGTCCTTCTCTACAAAAGTGATTATCTAATGAAAATGTCTGTTGTTTATATTCCCTATTCTGCTCCTGTATCACAGCAAACATTTCCAGGTTCAAGACCATCTCATGGTGGCTTTGTGGAATGAGTGAAGACTGCCCTCCTCTCACACCTGGGCAGACTGCAGAGGACTCCCAGGCTTCCTCCCTGACTGGTGCTCCACAGAGCTACTACCTCCATCACAGCTGGCATGAGAAGGAACCATTTTTCCATTTTCCCTCTGCACATCTCAATTGACTGTGTCCTGGTCTATGTTCCTACAGTGGTTCTGAGCCTCCTGGCCTGGAGCGTGTACACTGAAGCCCAGTTCTGCACAGTCAACAACTATGGCTTTATGCCTCCGCTTTGCTCATGTCTGACCAAAGCAGGTTGCCCTAACCAACACAGTCACAGGAAAAACACCAGGGAAAAGCAGCCTGCAGCCCTCTGGATTTTCTGCCTAGGCACCTGAATACACAGCATGACTTTTTTCAAAGCATTAATTTCTGTCTTAGTATTGTAGAAATCTGTGATATTTACCTTTTATGACTGAAAAAATGGATTAAATAAAACAGTCTTCGAATTTTCTGTGATTTAATCAGTTCATTTTCTCCAGCAAGAGTGTCTATTTCTGCTTATGATGTCACTGGAGTCAAAATTCAGGGAAATCATAATTCAGGTTTTTTTTTTTGCATTGTATCCCCAAATCTGATAAATCAATAATATTTGACTATTCTTTCATCAAAGTGCTCCTGAAATTCAATCCATGGCACCATTTCTACCACTATCATCCAAGAGAAGAAATATGTCACCTCACACTTTTATCATCATACCTTACATATGTACACAAATGTACATGTAGATGCATGCGTATGTGTATATAAATGTATATTGTATACATATGTATATAACCATACACATGCAATGCAAATATATGATATAAATAGCATATAAAATATGTGTGTATTATGTGTATGTGTGTGTATATATATATAATGTCAAAAGATGGAAACATTGCCATTTTAGATGAAAGATTTCAATGCATACATATGCACATATACTCCAGACTTACCGGTTGTCCTCCCCACCATCTATGGTTAAATTTCTCTCGCCCTCGAAGATGGAAAGTAGCATCAAATACAGGATCATACATCGAATTGCCAACAATCCCATGCGATTCTGGATACAGCCCCTTTGTATAAGAGCAATTTTACTATTGAAATAGCAACACACTAATCTACATATATTAGTTCTGTTAGCAATTTTCTTATCACAGGAGGTTTTATAACAATATGAAATTACCAAAATCAGATATAATACATGTAGCCTTTATTTGAGTCTGCTTTGCAAACATGAATTTTAAGTTATTTCAGAAATTTAAAATGATAAGAAATTTAATAGCTGGCTTTTTAACTGCTGAAACAATAAAACGGATACTTTTACTAACTAATTTTGTAATTTATACATGTATCCAAGGAAGTTTCCATTTACAAGTATACTTTTCCTTTCTTCTAAGTTCAGTATATCCTCCGATTCAATAATTTTAAAAAATTGCAATAAATATGAAAAATGTGTTTGAAAAAAGAAAATAAGGCAGAATGTGGAATTCTGAAAATTAAGACACAGAAGCCCTGAAGTCAACATTCTTATTTGGAAACTCAGGAAATAAATGATAGACTCTTCAGTAGCTGAGAATTTAATGGATGTGTTCAGATAGACCAGCACTTGAAAAGGGCTTCAGTTTCAATACTGCAATGAAGTTTAGTCACACAAAGTAGTAAAAGGCATTTGCTATGAGCAACTGAAGCAAACAAGAAGGGGAAACAAAGATTTTCTTTGAACTCTGAAGAACATGTTTGTAAAAACTTCCCTTTGGGTCAGTGAGATGGCTCTGCAGGTACAGGCCCTTGCCACCAAGCCTAGCAACCTTAGTTCAGTCCCAGAACAATCCCAGAATCCGTATGGTGAAACCAACTCTCACAAGTTGTCCTCTGACTTACACATGCATGCACGCACATGCGCACACACACACACACACACACACACACACACACACACTTAAATAAATAATAAATAAATGCAAGAACAGGTTTTGAAATATGTCCTATATTTTCAAAAACAAAGGAACAAAAAACAAAACTCCCCTTCAAGTCATTAAAACAGACCTTTGAATACACATTACTTACAGTTGCCAAAGTGTACAAGTTAGGGAAGGTTTTCGTGGGGTACACAGGCCTCATGTAGGGAGCATGTGTGCCACAGGACCCTGCAAGTAGAACACGAGCTATCAGGACAAGAGAACCAGCAGGAACCACTTCACATATAAAATTCATTTTATCAGCCATGAAAGACACAGTTACATTCCTTTCTACATTCCAATGATGACTTGTACGGAAAGCAATGGGTCTATGAAAACGCATAGCAGAGCAGCTCCTGTGACTGTGCCGGAGGACAGGAGAGGGCAGGGAATGGGGATGACTTACGCAGTTTCTCGATGTTGGGCATGACTTTGCTCCCTTTCTTCATGTATGATGCGCGGAACCCATCGACAGAGAAGATGATTAATGGAGGGCGGACAAACCTTAAATAGTAATACAGTAGACCTCAGCAAAACTATTGCTCCATACATCCCACTGTGTCTAGTCAAGCTCAATGATGGAGGACCAATCAATTCCAAGAAGACCCCAGAAGGGATCAGGTAAGCCTGAGCTCCCAATTACATAACATTTAAGGCAACCAAAGTTCAGAGTTAAACGGCCAAGGTCATAATGGCCAAGAGATAGATGGTTCCTGACTCTACCACTGCTCCCTACCTTCAAACAAAAACATTATGGCATATTTTTTAAGAAGTGCATTTTCTCCCATTTGCAACCTGGATACGTCCTATGCATTCTTTAAAACTCATCTTAAAGTTTCCTTTTCTATAATGTTAGATACCTGTACTCCTGAATATCTTTAAGATGCTAATCCATACCTTTTTTCACTCATATACACATCATTGTGTATTTTTATTGTAAACATCTGTTAGTAGATTTGTCCTCCTCACTAGTCTCAAAGCCAAATCTATATCTTACTCCTCTTTCTATTTCGTATATCCAGAGTAAGTCTTCAATAATCATCTTCTTTTTGAGACAGAGTTTCAGGCTGCTCTAGAACTTGCTATGTAGACTAGACTGGCTTCAAATTCACAATCCTCTTGCCTCAGCCTCCCAAGTGCTGGGATTATAGGCATGTGACTCCATGTCAATTTTCAATAAGTACTCATTAGATATATTAATGAATTGATGAATAAATGAATGTAAAATTAATAACAGTAACACTCTTACCACTAGATCTAAGCATTGATTAAAAAGCATTTCCTTCAGTTTAATTACAAAACAATTTCAAAACTGATTTAAATTAAGAAGAATTCCTAATAAGTATATCAACAAAGGACTAGACTATTCATCCATCCAGGGAAAGAATGAATGAAATGGTGCTTTATTATTCTAGGAATGATGTTGATCAATCAGACAAGAATATTCGAGAATTCTATCTAAGAATTTTAAGCTAACTGAGAAAGTGTAGTTTGTGCTTATTTGAAGTCATTTAACAAATAAGATACATTTATAAAATAGTCACAAATTGTTCCATCCCATTCCATGTACTCAAAGAAGTTCAAATATCTAATTAAGGCTTTAAAAATAAGGGAAAAATAAAGACATGTAAACACTTAAATTCTGTGTCTTGGGCTATGAAACCTAATAAATAGACAGATGATAAATGCGGATATAGATGATCGATAGTCTTATATATGTAGAAGACTAAATGCATTATGAAAACACATGTGTGAAGCTGTATTTTCTGGCAAGCATTTTAAAGGTTCATGAAGTTTCCATTTTCCTGGAAGACTTAAAAAGTGCCTGGTGCTGGTCACACTTAAGCTGTAGGGTGTCACACAATTTGGTTGTCCCCCAGCAAAGCAGCACAGCAGCAGATCAGCAGATTTCTGCAGCATCTGGTAGGAGTTACCCTCCTGGGTGACAGCTTTTAGAAGTTCTAGAGTCTCCTTCTTCCTTTCCCCTCCCCTACTCCTTAAAAAGGGCAAAAACAGAGCTCCAGGGAAAAATATGGTGGGGTAAGAAGGGAGTGAACAAAGACCACTGCACTACAAGAAATGCTTTCTTCTTCAGTGATCATCAGATGCATGTCATAAAACCTTCATCTAAGGTGGACCATAATGTTTTGACTCCAATATATTCAATAGACATAGAAGAGAGTTGAAAGAAAAACAGAGCTATCAAAGTTTCAAGATGCAGTCAGAGAGATCACTGAGCAGATAAAGTGGCTTGCCTGCCAGCCTAGTGACCTGAGTTCAATCCCTAGATCCCATATAATTGTCCTCTGTTCTCTGTCCTCTACACACTACTGTGACACAAGTGCCTGCCTACATACGTATCCTTCACTCACACACAATAATAATTTTTTTTTTACATTTAAGAGGCTTCAAGATAGCTTTCAACTGGTAAAGTGCTCAAAAGTACTCACAAATGTGTCTATAGATGAGAATTTTTTTTATGTCTATAACCACTTACCCATGATTCTTTGTGATGCTTCATCAAGGACTATGTAACACTTCCTAAGATCCATAAGATAAAATGCACTCACCCTGCAGGGCATTCGGGGGACTTTATTTCTTCACAGTCATCGTCTACCCAATGTGACTCTCCTACAAGGAAAAAAAAAAGGGGACATCTGTTATGAAATCTATTTATAAATGTCATCCAGAGCCTGGAAGAATACAATGCCAGAATCTGTGTCCTGTTTCATACTTGTTTATGGACACCATCTAAAAAGAAATTCTGAAATAAAGTGCAGTGTCTGGCTTGGCTTTTAAAGTACACCCATACATGGTGGGAAAGCTAAGATTTAATAACCTCAAGTGGTGTTTATTCCAGCTTTCAGAGTTGAAATGGTTTGTAGATTAAAAAAAAACATTGGCGTCAGTGGACAAAATTTCATGTTTGTATCCCTCCAGAAATAAACTGTTTGGTCATTAGATGGAACATTCTCTCCTCTGCCACTGAAGATCTCAAAGTCATAGAAAGCATGACATAACCTCCCTTTAGATAGAGAAAAGGCTTATATTGAATAATAACGTGCAGGGATAAGATGAAAAATTGCAAGACAGCTTATTTGCTGAGTATGTGCACAGTCTTGAATTTATAGATGAACACTCATGCTATTTTTCACTCTTACCTTGCACCAAGATCTGAGAACCAAAGCCATGCATGTGTGGAGGCAAAATTCAACATCAGATGTCTTCTCCTATTGCTCTTCAGCTTAGTTTTTGACACAATGTCTCTCACTGAACCTGGAGTTCATGGAATGGCTAAACTAGCTGGTCAGTGAGACCCCAGGGTCTTTCTGTCTCCCTCTACCCAGTGCTACTATTACAGGTACATGCCACCATGCCTAGCTTTTTACAAGGCTGCTGGGGATCTGATTAAGTGCCTTCACAAGCACTTAATCCACTGAGTCACCCCCTCCTCAAGCCCAGACTTTTTTATGATTATTTTTCAGATTTACTTACTTGTATTTTATGTGTCTGGATGCTTTGCCTGTGTGTATGTATGTATAACACGTGTATGCAGTGCCTACAAGGTCAGAAAAGGGAATCAGAACCCCTGGAACTGGAGTTAGAGATGGTTGTGAGCCATCATGTAGGTACTAGGACTTTCTTCTTATTCTTTTTTTTTTTGTCTCTCTTAATAGTCATTGCAGTTTCCTGTTATATTTACTGCATAGAGAAATTAAAGAGAAAAGGGAAATAATTTTTTAAACTTTTATATGTATGTGTTTTGCCTGCATGTATGTGTGACATGTGTTTGCAGTGCCCACGAAGGCCAGAAGAGGGTGTTGGATCCCCTGGAATTGGAGTGACAGTTGTTAGCAGCCACATGAGTGCTGGGAACCAAACTTAGGTCCTCTCAAGAGCAACAAGTGCCAAGTGCTCTTAACTCCTGAGCCACCTCTAAAGCCCCAAGAGACAAACTCTTTTGTTTGCTTGTTTTGTTTTTGTTTTGTTTTGTTTTTTGAGACATGGTCTCCATATAGCTAGCCCCAGCTAACCTGGTACTCACTAGGTAGACCAGGTTGGACTCAATCTCACAGAGATCTGCCTGCTTCTGCCTCACAAATCCTGGGATTAAAGGTATGAGCTACACTCAGCTTACCATTTGGGTAAGAAATCAATTCATAATGAATGTTAGTCATGCTTCAAAATAAAAACATAGCTGTTAGAGTACAGGAATTTTCACAGTACAATAGTTGCTTAGGTAAAGGAAAATTTCAAAATTCATTTATGCCTCACAGAAATAACTTCATTTTTCCTGAATGTTTTTTTTTTCTTTTTTCAGACAGGGGCCCAATCCAGGGCCTTGCACATATTAGAAAAGTGCTTTGCAATGGAGCTACATCCCTAGCCCTTCCTTAAAATAACTGAACAGATACCTCATAAACATTCTAGGTCAAAGATTCCTATGAGATTTCATTTAGAAACTAAAAGGTGACATAATCTATAGATAAAGATTCATGATTTTTGTACTAAGCATCACTAAGTAATTGGCAAGATCCTTAAATTCCTTGATTCTACATCTTTTATATTTCCTTAGACCACCAATTATTATTATCACAAAAGCATCATATTCTACTATCAACATACATTTATACAAATACGGTTTGGGGAATAACAGAATCTTTTGGCTCCTCATTGTCCTTACCAGCAAGAACCCCCATTCACTGGGTATAAAACCCAAGCTCCCATACCCCAGGCAAATCTGGGATTTATTCTTCAGAGCAGGCTATCTTCATTTCTTTTCCTATTACTGTGATAAAATACTCTGACAAGAGCAACTTGAGGGAGAAGCGGTTTCTTTTAGCTCACAGATCAGGGAGGTCAAGGTGGCTTGAAACAGTTGGTCACATGCTGCTCACAATTAGAAAGCGGAGAATGAATGCATGGTAGTGCTTAGTCCACTTTCTCCATTTTATACAATCCAGATTCACCTGCCCAGGGAATGGTCCTGCCCACAATTAAGATGGATCTTCCTGGTTGAATGCTCAGCCCTAAAGAGGGCAATTATAACACCCTACTAGGCTCAAAGAACATCATGGAAGAAGGGGTGGAAAGAATGTAACAGCCCAAAACTAGGTAGAAGAGCTGTGAAATGTTGTCTTCCCAACATAGCAGTCAGTGCAGTCACAATTCCATAGCAGCTACAGCTGCCTACAATGGGCTTGCACAATACCAGGCCTGTCAATAGTTAAGCATCCATCAGAGGGAGGCCCATGGAGCCCTATCCCTCCCAACTCTACTACAGGATATTCATGGATTCTACGGGAGGGCCAGTCATTGTCTTCAGTGTGTAGCCACCAACAAACCCACCAGGCTCTAAAGGATATTTCCAAACCCATGGTCACACAAATTACCCTGGTTAAATTCAATGGACCTCAAAACAAATAAAAAAGACATGAATGTGGGAAAGGGACTTGTAGGGAGGAGGAGAAATAGGAGTAGAAGGGAGGTGAAAGTAGGTTGGGGGTTACTGTAATCTCACATAAACCAAGTAAGACTCGCCTGTGACCACAGTTTGCTTCCTCAACCCACCTTCTCTCTCCTGCTTCCCTGACTTTTGCACATGGTTCTCCTACAAAGCATTTCCTCAATAAACTCCATGTACCAAATTCTAGACTCTGTTACTAGGAAACCTGACCTAAACCAAGACAGAAAGTTTTGAAGATATTTAAAAATATCTATCTTAATATAGTTTTATTTAATTTCAAAATGTTTCATTTCAGCTCAATGAAATATAGGATAACAAAGCTAAGAAGTTAAGAAATTAAAAATACAATACCTTCCCACCTCCAAAACCCCACATCCAAAGTGTTATATCTGGAAAATTCAGGCTCTCACTGAAGATCTCCAGTGTTTAAATTCTCAAGGCAATGTAAAGGCAGGTACCTTTGCAGACCACTTGGTAATTGGTACAGCAGTCTCCCCTAGCCAAGCAGTCCTCTGAGCAATGACAGGCATTTTCCTCGTTCCGTACTTCTCCACATCTGTCCTTGGTACACTCCCAGCCACGAGCTGAAATCATCACAATGAGACACTTTCACTGCTGCACACAAACCAAATGAAAGAGGCCACAATTGCTTACAAGGGTTTCCAACAAAAAGAGCAAAAATCCCACATCATTTCATCTGTTTGTGAAACTTGAGTCAGTCAGAGGTCAAGAAGATATTTGGAGAATTTACAGATAGGATAAATTTCTAATTTTTCAAGTCAGAAGACAAACTTACAGTAGAACTGAACTCTTACAGAAAAAAATAAAAGAAAAACAGAAAGGCAAGCAAAGTTTCCCCACCATTCCAGAACTGTCCTAAGCACCACAAAAAGAAAGACTATAAAAGGGCATTAAGGGCTGGAGAGAGAGGTGGCTCAGCAGTTAAGAGCACTGGCTGTTCTTGCAAAAGACCTGGGTTCAAATCCCAGAACCCACATGGTGGCTAGCAACCATCTATAACTTCAGGTCTAGGGGATCCGATACTCTCTTCTGTCCTCCACAGGCACTGCACATGGGTGCCTTATACACATGCAGGCATAACACTCACACACATAAAATAAAAACAAATAAAACAAAAAAGGGCAAAATGTGACCCTCTACACTTCTAAGATCAATAGAAGATCATCAGACCACAGCTTCTTGTCTGAATGATAGCTCAGAGTTCAGTTCTTCTAGGAAACTTCAGGAAAATAACCTTTTCATTTTAATGAGAGGGCTATTTTTTTTTAAGTTTTTGACTGATTTTTATCCAATAAACTGCACACAGTCATAGGCTTAAAAAATTACATCTTTCCCTATTATATTTCATCTCAGACTTGTAAGACTGTGAAGCTCACTGGCATGGCTAAGCATTCAATGAATAGGTATTAAATCGCTTTAGAAATGGTGTTGGAAATAAACTATGACTCCTGAAATTCAGGACTGTGATACAAAGAGATTTCATGACTAATCCATGTGTTCATTTTTCCCATCTCCCATAGTCCATCTGTCCCATGTTTTCCATACTCTGGGTGCTTAGGATACAGTGATCAAGAGACTGGAGCTCTGCTATCATGAAGCTCACATCCATGTAGAAAAGACAGACCACATGCAAGTAACCAACAAGCAAGATATTTCTGCCATGGGATGGGTTGCACAGGAAGTAACAGGGGGCATGGACAGAGTGACAGGGTGGCTGGGGGCTCCTGCAGATGGAACAAACAGTCAAGAAAAACCTTCTCTGAAATGAAGTACATATGAACACTCCAGGCCTTCATCCTTTCAGATATGTCATCAGCAGAAAGCAATAATTCTCCTCTAAAGCAACGATACTCTCTAGTAACATTCCACCACGAAGAATTATTACAAGGTGATTAAACAGATGAAGAAATATCTCTGCCATGCCTAAGTGTTTCCTTGTCTCTTTGGGCAGGTCATTAGTCGGAAAACCATGCAACTACTGTTTAATGGCCATTCTTTTAGGACCATCGTTGCATCCTATTTGATAGTCTGATTTATTTTTAATAGCATCTGTTTCTGCTGACTCTTCCCAAGCAGATGAAATGCTTAGAATTTCTTGATCTCTGATCTGTTATTCCAAACGGTCAGCAAGTCTCCAAGGTTTCTTTGACTGAAAGAGACTGTGGAATTATAATTTTTCCCACTAATATGCTTTGATTTATCCCCTAATTCCACATGAGAATCCCTTTACTTACAGAAGAGCATCATTGCTGACAAGCTACATTGATTGAGGGGTCACTACTTCTGTGTGAGAATGGAGTAAAAAAAGAAATTGAAGATTCAGGGTGAACTACCAGCAAAGTACAAGTCAGTTAACATGTCGCTTTCAAATTAATGTGGAAATAAACATTTTCAAATAGTTAACCTTACTAGAAAACAATATTTCCTATTACATCAAAAACGTTTAACTTTTTACTTATTATTTTTATTTTATGTGTGTGAGTGTTTTGCCTGTATGCATATAAGTGCACCCATGTTGTGCAATGCCGGCAAAGGCCATAGAGGGTGTTGGAGTCCCTAGAACTGGAGTTACTGACAGTTGTTAGCTGCCATATAAGGTGCTGGGAACCAAACCTGGATTCTCTGCAAGAACAGCCAGTGCTCTTAAGAGCTGAACCATTTCTCTAGCACCAGGGGAAAAAGAAAACATTTTTAATGAAAGTGCCTGATAGTCAAAGGGACTGGTGAAAGGTTCTTGTGCTCCCTTGAGAAAAACACACGCTGTCAGAGTACATAATTTTATCATATATATTATATGTATATATATATATTTGTTTGTTTGTTTTTGTTTTTATGGTCTTTTTGAGACAGGGTCTCCCTGTAGCCCCAGCTGTCCTGGAACTCACTATGTAGACCAGGCTGGCCTTGAACTCACAGAGATCCACCTGCCTCTGCCTCCGGAGTACTGGGATTAAAGGCGTGCACCACCACGCCCCACTTATGTATATATTTTTAAAAACGAAAATGCACTTTGACCCAGAAATCCCACTGTTAGGAATTTATCCTAAGGAAAATAGGTAAAAGTATAAATTATATGTATTAATGCATTATTCATAGTGCCAAAACTTGAACAAAATATAATGTTGATCAAGCAGTCAATGAATTGTTATGACTGTTTGGTGGAATATTATGATGCTATTTGGAATGATAGTGTTTATGAAGATTTGTAGCTCCCCTGTGTATATGTATATATGTACATATAAGTGTATATAGCTATGCACACAATATACAAGCAACATTCATACACACTATGTTTGTTTCCTGTATCAGCAGAACTTCAAAAACCTTTTTTTCTGCCTTTACCTTCCACTGCTATTTGACATTTGATTTTCCACATTCAACATAGGTTGTCTTTATATACAGGAGAATAAGCTGCTTTATACACAATGTTGCTTCAGTCTGTTCAGTCTGTATAAACTGAGAATAAAGGCATGCACTACATTCAAAGAGAACTAAGCCAGAGTCAAGGGGTGCTTATAACTCTGTCAGGAGTTTTAAGACCAGAATGTTGGAAGGTTGGTGTAACTTGTCAGGGACAAGACATAAAATGTTATAAAATCATCAGTGGTAAGCAAACGCAGACTGCTGATTTGCAATAATGTCTCAAAGTCAAAGAGCTCTGTTAGATTTTCTCTCTCTCTCTCTCTTTAGTGTATATGAATGTGTCTGCACATGTACTCAGTTTACAAGTCTCAGCTCTTAGGTTTGCTGACCCACAACTAAGGAAGCCAGCAGAAGTTCCAAAGCAAAGCCACAGCAACAAAAAGTGTTTAGAAAATGCACTATGCGAAAAAAAAAAAAAAAAGCTCTTCTTATTTCACAGGCAGTTTGAGGAACAAGTCACAACATGTAAGGGAATTTATGTTGTTTTCAAATAAATCAAGGACTAACGTTTAAGAGAAGAATGTTTTGTTTCTAATATCATTTAAAAGATCAGACAAGTAAAAGGCAAAAGATTTATACAATCTGAAGACAGAGATCCTCAAACGGACTTAAAAGTAAAAACAAATTGATTTATCTGGGCCAACTATAGGGTCTTAAACACCCAAAAGGAAAGTATAACCAAAGATTAAAGAGGTTAATATAATTTTTTTAAGAGTCCATATGTTTAGCTAAAGGCTATATAACAAGAAACAATGCCAGACGGGAGATCCTTCTTTTGAGTTGTTGGCCAGGGTGGCCCAAGAGACTCCCAGACAGTAACCCAGCATAGAACTCAGAAAATGAACAGCAGACCCCAATCTTATCTAAAGGACTATTGACAACTGATTGCTGCTAGATGAGGAACAGCTGACCTTCCTAAAACAAGGATCTCTAGACAGGCTGACTAGATTCAGCAAATGGACAAGCACTGGGGAACGGCTGGGGGTGCCAACAACACAGTGCACAGTAACAGGGATGATAGAGTATATGGGCTCCAGTGGGGTCAGGGGAGGCTATGGGAGGCTGCCATTTGGGAAGTGGGTATATAGATGAATAAGATTGTTTGGGATGTTCTATGAGATACACACACAAAAATATCAACAAATAAAAAATAATAATTATATTTGAGGAAGAAGCATAAAAATTTACTTCATGTTAATTAGTAGAGGTGATAAACATTATCATTGAAATCTACCTGATGACTTTATATCCATACTCAGGTGCCAAGGATCCGAGTGTAACCAACTGTGACTAGTAATAATTAGATACATTACATAGAGATTAGGAATGCATATGCAAACATCTAAGTGTTAGTAACATTAAAAATAAGTCTTTCTGTAGGAAACAGTGTATTTTAAAATGAAATGGAGATCTTTTTTAAAGGGTTAAAAACTCAATTTTATGTCTTATAGGGTTTATACTGAGTTCAATATTGTATAGTGTATTAATTCAACTGTGAACCTAAAAATTTACAGCCACTTTTGAAAGAGATGTATCTTTGCTCTGGAAATTGTTATTGAATATGTTAAAGCTGTAAAATTAAAAAAAAAAGATCAGACAAGTAGCAATATAGGATAATATACTGCAATATATGATCATATGTTAGGTTTTTGAAAGAACCATCCATGCATGAAAACAGTAACTTGTCCGGGGAGCTGTGAAAGTGCCTGGTAGTCTTCAGAGCAGATTTTGTGCTGTCTCTTAAGTACTTTGCATGGGGTTTTGCCCAGAGGCATGGTGGTACCCAAGGCACCCAAAAGTCTTACCCAAAAATGTTTGTCTTTAAAAACAAAGCAAAGTAGGAAGACAAAAATCCCCCAAAGTACCTTTTGTCAATGTGTGTGCATTCATTCAATAGTTTGTATGTTCTAATGACTGTTCCACTACAAAATTTTTAAAAATCAGGAAAACTTTAGAGGAAGATGTTACCCAGAACATAAGACCTCACATGATTCCATAAAAGTTTTCCATTTGCACAGAAAAAAAGAAATAGTAGTTTTAAACCTAATACCTTTAGAATGTGCAAAAATTTAGCTCACGTCCCTTAGCACTAAATGTGAGGCTGTCAGGAAGAGCTAGAAAGATGACAAAGGCCTGGCAACACTTTCAAAACCAAAGCCAGCCTGTGATGCCTGCAGGCAAGAAAGAGCCTTCCTTATCTGGGACACAGAGTTTCTTCATGAACTGACAATCATTCAAGAAACAAACTAGCTGGATGTGGTGGTACACAACTTTGATCCCAGCACTCAGGAAGCAGAGGCAGGTGGGACTATTGGAAGCTCCTGTCTCATAAAACAAAAACAAAGAAACAAAAGAAACAAAGTTAAATCCACAATTTGGATAGACCAAAGCAGGAGTGCATAACAGCAGCAGGTCTCTAAGTCTTCTGTTGGAGGTGAGAAGGCTCCAAAAGTTACATACCTGTCTTCAAACAGAGTTCATCAAAGTCATGGCAGCAGCTGCTATAGCTCTTACACAAGTTGTCACACCGGCAGTCAGGCGGTCCGACCTCTTGAAGTTCAAAGCATCTGTTCTTGCAAGATCCAGATGTGTTGGTCCAAGGGGAGTCAGATAACACTGCCAGGAACAGAAGGCAAAGACAATGGGTTCGAGGGTGGTCCTACCACCACTGAGGCGTGGCACTGGGAAGGAAGCCATCAGGTGGGGCTGCAGTCAGATTCTAGATGAGAAACCCAACTGCACCACCTGCTACCTAGGTACTCTGGGCTTGTTACTGAACTTGCATAAGCCATAGTTTCCTTATTTATAAAGTGAATGAATCATAAAAGTAACAGTAGGTTGAAATGAGAATTGAACAAAACTACCAAGCATATACAAAGAATAACAAAAGTTGGCTATTGCTCTACTCAGGACTGTAATCATGATTCCTATAGATATGTGATGGCTAGTATTCCTGTTGAAATAAGAATTAGTTTTCCTATTTTAAAAATCCATAGTATTAGCTGGACATGATGGTATATGCTTACAATTAAGCACTCAGGAGAGACAAGGGGATCGTGAGTTCAAGGCCAGCCTGGACTGCATAGCAAGACTTTGTGACAAAACCAACAACTACAAAAGTCAATTACGATGAAAATCAAGTCTCAGTGTTCTAAAACCAGTCTAAATACTGATCAGAATATAACATTTTTTTCAGTCTCTTCTAATCATAAAATTCATGCTGCAGCTAGGGTTAGATGAACACAAACACCACCATCTTACTTGGAAAAAATAAATCATTTATCATTGGTTTCATGTAATATAATCTAGAAATCTCAAGAGTTGACAAAATGTTAGAAAATGAGAGAATTTGATGTGATCAAATTTGAACAAATTTGTCATATGTTGGCAATGTATGATTAACAGATGCTATCAAGGGGGGAATGGGAGGGTACTTTAGGGAGGAGAAGGGAGGGCTATGCAGAGAGAGAGATAAGAAAGACAGATAAATAATGCTTAGGTGGTATAAAAAGACAAAGGGAAACGCAGTATTTCATAAACCTATTGAAAATACACATATAAATACGAGGACATGTGTGTAACTGAAGGCTATAACAAAACCACAATCAGGCAATGAAAACTTCCCTTCAAGTTATTGATCAGGGTAGTTCAAGACACTTCCAAAATAATCCAGGATATTGCCACAGTCTTTGACTGCCTCCCAGAACTTGAAGGTAAGATCCTATTGCTGAAGACACACCATATATGGAACATAGAACTTAGAGCAATTGAGCTGGAAGTGACCTGGAAGCCTCCTCCCTGAAGACTATCTCTTATAGTGTCAGAACATACTATACAAACTGCCAAGGAATAAAACCAATCAATGATCCTACCCATATGTAAAGCCTACGAACCACAATAATGACTGACCAAACAAATTATCTCTGTTGTTGCAGCAGTGGCACTTTTATTTTGGAGAAAATCAACAGTTGTCAAATTTGACTTAAGGCCCACTTGATGAGAGGGAGCTCATTCATGGTACTGTAAATAAAGCCAAGTACACATGGATAGAGAGATCATAAACCCTGGAGAAGAAACTACTTCTATCACTTCTCTAGACTAAGGTAATCTCTTACTATATTTTAAATGCATATCCTTATATTTGCAGACAAGTATACTTCTTACCAGTCATCAAAGAAATTTCTTCTTGCAACAGATGAAGACTATCACAATGTTACATAAATCATCAGATGAGAGGATACATGACCTTGAGGTACCTAGTCCCAAGTGATAGATCTACAATGTAGCCTCCACACGGAAGGCTCAGGAAATGTGAGAGCCAGAGGGACAAGACACCTTCTGCTACTTAATACGTTCTAGACATGATAGGGAAGCTACACCAATGAAATGTCCACAGCACAGTCTAACAAGATCTATATAATGATAAAATCAGTTGACATACCAAGGTAGAGGAGGAAATGTCACTGGATCCCACCTCAAGATGAAGAGCTACAGGCAGTCAATGGATGCTGAGGAAGGGAAAATCAGTTTTTTCCAGGGGCTATCTCCCTGAGAGGTTATCTAATCCCAAACAGGCAGCCCTAAACACAGGTACACATGAGCACCACTAATGGACTCAGTGCATTAGATATGTGTGTGTGTCTGCATGTTTCTGTGTCTGTCTGTATACATAACAATAATTTTCAAAAAAGAGGACAAGAATTTGAGGGGGGGGACATGGGAAGAGTTGGAGGGGGAGTGGGAAGGATGGAAGTAATGTAAATACAATACTCATGTATGTATGAAATTCTCAAAAATAAAAGGAAATTTAACAACAATTAAAAGTTAACCATTCATAAAAGTATTTAAAAGATAAAATACTAAGAAATAAATTTCTTTATATACGCACAGAACCTATAAGAATATTCTAAAACTCCATGAAAAAGAAAATTCAGAAAAATCTGTAATCAGAAGTCACATATTCTTAAAGATAAAAATATCAATATTATAAAAATACTAATATTCCTAAATATATTTAAATATTCAATACAATCACAGTGAAAAGTATTTAAGGTTTTAGAAACTTTAGAGGCTATAAAGAGGTTGTTGAAAAATAAACATGAAAATAGGAAGATATTCAAGAAGAAAAGTAATTTGGTGACAAGATGGGAAAGTACATTGTGAAGTTAAATAATTAAAATAGGTTGGTGGTTCTGGAAAGTAATGCTAACAATATTGTGGATGAAGTCTAGAAATAAAGCCAAACATTTGAGCTTATTTCATAAAATTCAGCATTTCAAAGCTAAGGAACTCGAGGCATCCATAGGTGGTAAGTAGAGAGTATTAAGCTGGCTCCTCTCATTTTATAAAATAATCAATTTCTGATGAATAAAAAATATGAACATTGAAATCTACCTGATGACTTTATAGACATTATAGACTTTATAGAAATACACAGGTACCAAGGATCCAACTGCAACTGATTATGACTAGTAATAATCAGATACATACAGATTAGAGATGCATGCACCAACATCTCAGTGTTATTAGCAAAAACAATGAGTCTTTCTGTAAGAAACAGTATATTTTAAAATGAAATGAAGATCTTTTTTAAAAGTTAAAAACTCATTCAATTTTATGTCTTACAGGGATTATACTGAGTTCAATATTGTATAACTGTATTAACAGTGAACCTAAAAATTTCATGCCACTTTTGAAAAAGATGTATCTTTGCTCTGGAAACTATTAATGAGTATGTTAAAGCTGTAATGAAATGCTTCTTCTAAAAAAATTTTAAAAAATAAAGTAAAATATGAACAATAATGTATTTGTTTTAAATATGGCAAGATTTTATAAAATAAGATGCAACTTTAAAATATCTATCAACATTTTTCCAAGAAGTTCCATTAGTAGGAACTTACCTTCCATATATATATGAATATATATATATGCAAAAACTTGTCAAGATATAGATACAAAAACAGTCATTGTTCATTGTATTCTTTTTGTAATGTGGGGGAGGGGAAATTTTTGAAGTCAACCAAAGGCTTTTCATCCATTTAGAAAGAAAGAACCACTCAATATGTATGCCCATACATGGATTATTGCTCTCACCTTAAAAAGAACAAGACAGGTATGCATAGGTAAATATGGGAAGATCTGCTAGTGTAAAGAAGTGCTTGTTACACTTCAAGTTGCAGGCATAGACAAGGACTTTCTGGAAAGGAGTTCAAGAGTATAGGAAATAATCTCAAGAACTGACTCATGGGATTGCAAGAAATTAAAAAGTTTCTGCACAACAATGGAAACTATCAGCCAAGAGAAGAGAAAGATTATAGAATTGGAGAAAGTCTTTGCTGACTATGCATCTAATAGATTAATATTTAAATCTATAAAAAAAATCTTCAAAGCCAGGAATTAAAGACACATAAAAACCAAAAAAAAAAAAAATCTTCAAAAACTAAACACTAAAAAGAATCGAGTCAATAAATCCGCTGATAAATTGAATAGACAGTTTCCAAAAGAAGACATACAAATGGTCAAGAACTATTTGAAAAAGTATTCAATGTCCTTAGTTATAAGGGAAATGAAAATTAGTTACACTGAGATTCCATCTCACCCCACTAAAATGGCTATCATGGAGAAAATAAATGACAACAAATTCTGATGCAGGTGTGGGGGAAGAGGAACCCTTATCATACACTCCTGACAGGAAGCAAAGTGCTGTAGCCACTATGGAAATTAGTATGGAAATTCATCACAAAACTAAAATTAAAACTGCCATGTGATCTGGTTAATACTTTACTGGGTATATACCAAGTGTTCTAAGTTAACACCTCACAAAGATATTGCATATCCATGTTTATTGCTATACTCCTCACAATAATCAAGATATGGAGCCAAACTGGATATCCATCAGTAGATGAATGGATAAAGAAAATGCACTGCACAGACAATGAACTTTATTTGTCTACAAAGAAGGATGAAATTATGCCATTTATTCTGTATGTTATATAAATAAGCCAGACTCAGAAGGCAAATATAGCATTGTTTCTCATTTTCAGAATCTAAATTATATTTATATATTGAGGTGTATGAGGAAAGGTGTGTGTGTGTGAAAAGTTGAAAAAGAGACTATGAGAAGGAAAAAAAGGGTCTAAAGAGAGGGGAGCTGGGTGTGGTAGTTTACACCTTTAATCCCAGCACTCAGGAGGCAGAAGCAAGCTGATTTCTGTGAGTTCAAAGCCAGCCTGGCTTAGATATCAAGTTACAGTCCAGCCAGAGCTACATAGTAAGACCCTGTCTCAAAAAAACAAATAAACAAGGAGAAAGGTGAACGAGAGAACAAGAGAAGGTCATGGAGTATGACGGGAAACAAGAGGAGCTATTTGGAGGAAGAAAAAGGACCAGCATCAAGGGAGAGGGCATGAAGGAGTGGGTAACAAAAAAGAACAAAGTATAATGGCGTGTGTGTGTGTGTGTGTGTGTGTAAGAAAATGCCACAAATAGTCTATTATTTTGAATGCTAACTAAATAATTTAACAAAGGGTTAGTGAGATGACTCCGTGGGTAAAGGCTTAGCAACTTGAACTTGATCCTCCAAAACCCTACACAGCAAAAGGAGAGAACAGACTCCA